CTATCACTAAGTCAGCTTATTTGATTTTGGATCTTGATGGGGACTTATAATTGCTTGTCAGAAACCTCAATTAACTCTTTGAATCTATACCCACACTTGATGTATTTGTTTTTAAGCCCCTATCTGGCCCTTCATGAGAGTTACAGTAATTGAACTATTATTGAAAGTCATCATAGCATACATTTTTTTTCTATTCAGGTAGATAAACTAATTCAAGTGAGATAATGATTTGTTTGATTTTTTCCACTTTACTCACTACTGTAAATATAACTTATTTCCATGGTTTAGTTATCTTCAGCACTAATCTGAAAAAAATGTATTAGGAAGGCTCCTAATGATACCTTGTAACAATGTCTCACACACACACACACACACACCCACAAACACACACTTCACAATGACTTGTGAAAAATAAGTTTGTAACAATTTCTGTCAATCTCAGTAATAAGATAAGAAACTGTTAAATTAACTTTTTGTTCATTTTAAAGGAAACTATGTAATTTTGCCTTGATGTAAAATGCTTAAGAAAGAAATTTGCTTTTGCAATTTCCATTGTCTTTTGGCTAAGTTATTTTTATATTAAAGAAAAATCTGCAATTCTCCTGTATCACATTGTCTGTACTTCTTCTCCCAAACTCTACAGCATAGGTAGACTAGGTCTCTGGTGGAAGGTGAAGCAGGGGAAGGCAGTACTATATTTCCTCAGAGAAGTAGAGGAGGCCCTAAGTAGTTGTGGTGTCTTTTCTAATTCTATAACCAATCAGCCAACTGGTATGCTTTCCCACCACCATGATTAGTAGTTAATGTTAAATAGCCAGATTTAGTTCATGTCTAGAAATAGATATTTTATGAAGGCAGTATAGTAAGAACAGTAGGTATAAAATATCCCTACAAAAATGTATGATATACCCTTCCACCGGTACATCTTGAATCTAGGAGAATATTGGTTCAAACAAAGTGCATTGGATAAAAGGACTAACTCATAGCTTGTATCATTAAGATGTTCCCCTTAGGAATGGTATTGCTTTTCTGCTGGACTCCTCATAGAAACTTCTACCTGCTTTTCTTCATCATGTCCAGTTTGTCCTTGGCTTCTAGTGCATACACTGGTATCAGTCATTTCGGGACATTGTGAGGATGCTGATGAAAAGTTAAAAATCCTCTAGTCAGGGGGCAGCTCAGTGGTGCAATGGATTGAGCACTGGCCCTGGAGTCAGGAGGTCCTGAGTTCAAATACGGCCTCAGACACATAACACTCACTAATTGTGTGACTCTGGGCAAGTCACTTAACCCCAACTGCCTCACCAAAAAAAAAAAAAAATCCTCCAGTCCTCCAAAATTCATGAGATCCTCACAAGGTAGAGAGAGTTGGAGGCTGAGAACAAGTTGAGTTGTAGACTTTTCTTACTTCTAAATTACTCTTTCTCAGGGAGTTGGTTAGAAATGTTTATTCTTGACTCTCAACTTACTTGAATCTCCAGGTTGTTAACTGCCTTATTATTTATACAAAATCTACCCAATCTGAACATACTTCCTGTACAACATTCAAGTTTATGTAGTGATTTTCAGAAGTTTCTGAAATGAAAAAGGAATTTTCACATTTTGTTTAAATTTTTTGTTTGATAAAATAGAGACATTTAGGCTTTGTTCACATCTAGTTCTTAGATTCGCTAAATGGAGCTGTTTTCACCAAAGAAATATAACAGGGTTAATCAAGTGTGGTAATTAATTGAATGATTAAGTCAATAGATCCCCACCTTTATTGCTCCTTTTTCCAATTTGTCTAGAAGGGTCTCTAAGCCTTAAGCTTTACTCTGTGTCTAGAAATCCCTCAAACACTGTTGGCTTTGCACTTTTCTATATTTTGGTGAGCTCTCCAAATCCTAATGCTTCCAAAAAGCCTTTTTAGTTCTCATATTCCATATCTTCTCATGCCCAAGATCATATCTCATTAATTATCGCCTTTATTTCATACATCTTCAATTTCTCCTAGCTTCTGATTTCTTAAGATAAGGAAGGTATGAATTTAAAAACATATGATTACCTTCCTAATGTGAAGTTATATATACATATACACATTTGTGTACATACACATACATGTATGGATATATGCATATGTATATATGAATATATGCATATAGATACATGGATATATGCATATTCATGTGTGTATATGTATATTATAGAAATAGAGAGAGAGAGAGAGAGAGAGAGAGAGAGAGAGAGAGAGAGGGAGAGAGAGTAGAAAAAACACTGAATTGAGTGAGAGGACTTGGGTTCAATTTCCAGCTCTGATATTCATTATATATGTAACTTAATCACACTGGACTTTCTTTTCCTTATGTATAAAAGGCAGGATTTGGATAAAATATCTCTGCGATCCCTTCTATTATCCATTGATTATATGGCCTTTGTAGTGTAGCCTTGTAAGCCTATGAAATGTGATACCGTAACTTTATTTTACCATAATCTTCCTCAACTTTAGATGAACAGCAAGGGACAAAGTCAATGAATACTTCTTGGAAAAAGTACCACAAATTGGAAAAAGTACCCCTGCAGCTAGTTGATGCAGTGGATAGAGCTCCAGCCTTGCAGTAAGGAGGGTCTAAGTTCAAATCCAGCCTCAGACACTTGATACTTACTAGATGTGTGACCCGGGGCTAGTTACTTAACCTCAATTGCCTTAAAAAAAAGTACCACAAATGATTACTGAAGTCCTCTTGGATGGTCATAGAGTGGGGCATGAAGGATTCTGAAATGCATTCTCATCTGGGCTGTGAGAGAGAGAAGGGTAGAAAGAATGAAGGAGAGAGAAAGAAAGAAAAAGGAAAAAGGTGTGAGGAGGATGGAAGGAAAGAAAGGAGGAAAGAAAGAAAAGGGAGAAAGGGAAGGAGAAGACAGGAAAGGGAAGGGAAGGGACAGTTCTGGAGGATTGGGGGGAGGAGAAGGGAAGGGAATTGACAGAAAGAAAAAGAAGTATTACTTTCCTCTTTCCTACAAGCTAAAAAAGAGAAATTTTTTCTCTCTCCTGTGCTGTTTAAATATTATTAACAACAATAACACTAATTAATGAATATTTGTTTACTGACTGTTAATTCTAGTGTGAGGGTGATTCTTCTTTTCTCCCCTCCCACATACCCCCTTCCCACTTCCTACAGTATATTTGTTTCTGTCTAGATCTTCCTTGTTGTCTCTGTTCTACTGATCTTTTCAATTATTTCTCTACATAGTTTTGATGACTATGACTTAGTATCATAGTTAGAAATTGTGTATTTCTCTTTCCTCTTAATTATTGAATTTTTAAAAAATCTTTCCTTTGAAATACTTGACTTGTGTTTGTCAGAATAAATTTTGTCATTATTTTTTCCTATAAAGTTACCTTGTTAGTTTGATTAACATGTCAATAAATCTACTAATTTAAGAATTGTCTTCAGTTTTCATTACATTTGAATGTCCAGTAATGAAATATATATATATATATGTATAGATATGTATATATATACACACACACATACACACACATATACATATACATTTTCCAGTGATTTAAACTTTTATTTTAGTAAAGAGTATTTATTTGGCCTTGAGTATTTTTTGATATGTTAAATTCCAGATAATGTATAAATTTTACTGTCACCTTGAGTACTATTTCTCAACTTATTACTCCTAGGTTTAATTAATAATATACAGAAAGACTGATGATTTTATGTTTTTATCTAGCTTTATTACTTTGAAGTTGTTGTTTCTATGCATTTTTTCATCAATACCCTGGGGTTCTCTAAATCATCACATCATCTGTAAATAGAGATTTTGTCTTTGTCTATGCTTATTCTTTCATTTTTTCTCATGTTATATTGATTATCCCCAATGATATATCAAACAACAATAATTACAGTAGATATCCTTAATTATTTACTGATTTTGAGAAACCCCCTTTTACTCACTTTAATTTTAGTATTTTGAAGATAATTGACAATGGTATTTTGTTAGAAAACATTTGAGGGATTTCTTTTGATTTGATCATATGATGTTATTTTTATTAATAAAATGTATTGATGACGATGACGAAAATTTTCTTGTGTTAAACGATTCATAGAATAAATGAAAAAAAATATTACTTTATTACTTTGATGATACTTTACTTAATATTATTGCATCAATATTGAACAATGATATTGATATTTATTCCTAGTATCCTCCCCACCCTAGTGTGTGTATCTTTACTTATTCGCATATGTATGTCCATATGCAAGGTGACTGGGGCAGTGCCTCCTTTTTCTACTTTTGTACATTTATATACTTTATAAATTATTTCACTATAAATGCATCTGGATGAGGATTTCAACCTTCATTACCACTTTTAGCAACTCATTTATGGTTTGTTCAATTTATCTTTCAAAAAGTATATTGAGGGGTCAGCTAGGTGGCACAGTGGATAGAGCACTGTTCCTGAAGTCAGGAGGACCTGAGTTCAAATCCAGCCCCCGACCAAACACTTGACACATACTAGCTGTGTGACCCTGTACAAGCCACTTAACCCCAATTGCCTAAAAAAAAAAAAGTATATTGGTGGTGGGGGCGGAGCTTGGGGGAAGTGGCAGCTCCTCTCTGAAGTCAGCAGGGCCAGTCCTAGATTCAGCTAGTGGCCCAGTGCTTGGTGCTCCTGACAGCTGGGCTGAGCTTGGTGCTCCGTGCTCCCAGCCAGAGAAGACTAAGAGGCCATGGCCCTGGGGGTGCCTGTTCTGGTGGCAGTGACATTTTGTGACGTGACCATGTATTTCACGGAGCAGGAGTAGGGGACCTTGGAAGGGTGGCAGAAGGAACTTTACAAGCATGTCATGAAGACTAATTATGAGAACTTGTTCTCACTGGGCTATGCCATTCCCAAAGCAGACTTGATAACTCAGACTGAATAAGGGGAAGAATCATTCATCAGAGATTGGGGACACTTGGACAAAAGAGAACTGGCTATTGGTTCCAGTGCTGATGAGCATCCTGACATGAAGAGCACACAGGACCAACTGTTATCTGGCTGTGCCATACCTAGACCTGACTTGATAACCCACACTGAACAAGAAGAGTCACTCATTAGCAATCAAGGGAACTTGGAAACAGGAGGCTTTGCAGTCTGCAGCAGTGATGATGAACATCTTGACTTGAAAAACACAGAGGTGCAGTTATCTTGAGGGGAGTCTGGATCTTCAGTTTCAAGACAACAGGAAATTCATGGACATGATCTTCAAAACCAGAACTGGTCTGGACTCTTACCATTCTGCTGCAATGAGTGCAGCAAAGGCTTCACCAACAAGTCTCAGCTAGCCAATCACATTGGAGTTCATAGACCAAAAAAACACTTCCAGTGCACTGAGTATGAAAAGAACTTTGCCCAAAAATCCCAACTGCTCAGGCACCAGCACCTGCACATGGGGGATAGGCCCTTCCAGTGCCCAGAGTGTGACAAGAGCTTTGGAGTAAAGGAGGACATGAAGGCCCACCAGTACCGGCATAGGGAGGAAAAGCCATTTTCCTGCAGTGACTGTGGTAAGGGCTTCACCATGCATCATTATCTCACTGATAACATCAGAATACACATAGGCAAAAAGTCCTTCCAGTGCCCAGAGTGTGGCAAGAGCTTTCTAATGAAAGCAGACATGAGAGTCCACCAGTGAAGACATATCAAAGTCAGGTCATTCTGCTGCATCGAGTGTGGTAGGGCATTCCCCAACCATTCTGAACTCGCAGACCATATTAAGGTGCACACCAAGAAAAAGTGTTACAAGGGCCTGCTGTATGGACTGATGGACCTAGACTGGTGTTGATATGGAACTGATGACCAGCAAGGTGTGATTTTGTAAGCCAAAGAACATGGTCTAGTCCAAATTCTACTACATCTTTGGTCATTCAACTTCTGCTGGAATATCACTAGTAACAGGGACTTCACTGCCTCATGAGGCAGGCCATTCCATCCTGGCATAGCTCCCATTGTTGGGAAGTGTCTCCTTAGCTTGAACCAGAATCAGGTTCTCTGTAACTTCCACTTCTTGGTCATGGATCTCCTCTTTGACCAAGCAGAAGGTTATCCTTTCCACATTACAACTGTTCGGTACAATCTGGCCAATAAAGTGAGTGATGAAACTGGTAATGCTGGGTTTTGCTTGTTTTTTTCAAAACAAGAATTAACTAATAAGTAATGATGCATGTCTTATATAGCTCATAAGATGGCTCTAAAGAGGTTACCAAGATGTCACAAATACTATCTATCCATTGCTGAAACCCCCTATTGTTTTTTTCATTACTCTCTACAAGCCAAAGGATTTTTTTCCTGAAAGCCTGAGACTCATCTCTTAATAAACTTGAATAAGAAATTTAAAAAATATATTGGTAAAGATCTAAATATGTTAATTTGGTAATCTGGGTTATATAACAGTTTGGAGATATTCATCTATTTGAATTGTTTTCAATTTTCTTATTACTAGATATAACATGTTTTTTTTTTCAGTTTACTTTAGTTTTCCCCCTAAATCAACTGTGAGCTTCCCCTTTCCATATATTTTAAAATTTTCTTAAGTTAACAGTCTCTGTCTCTCTGTTTCTGTCTCTCTGTCCCTGTCTCTGACTCTCTCTCTCTCTGTTTCTCTGTCTTTCTCTCTGTCTCTCTGACTTTGTCTCTGTCTCTCTGACTGTCTCTCTCTCATTCTGTCTCTCTCTTGCTCTGTCTCTCTCATCCCCAAATTTTCCTAGTATTCCAACAAGTTTACCCCATGGTTATTGATTTCCTAATACTCTCTGCACTAAGCCTGATCTATCTATTTATCTACCAATCTTTCAAGGCATCCAAGAATACTGTGTATTTGGTACAGGGCCTCTTTTCTCTATTTTGTGAAAGATTTACTTATGTTACAAATTATTTCTCTGTAAAATCATCTGGATCCAATAATCTGTCTCCACTTTATGAACACATTAAAGTTATGTTTACATTAATAGACATAAATCATCAAAGAGTAAGAAGGTGATGGTCTAGTCATGCTGTGTTCTGACTAGACTTTTTTGCCCCTAAGACTTTGTTTTTTAATTATTGATGCCACATTTGAAAACATATATTTTGTTAATAATTGTTAATAAGCAGTGTCTAGAAGATATCCAAGATGTTGACAATATTTGAGTTAATGTCCAATAATCCAGAAAATTTGAAGATCTATTTATTTCAGACGAAGAGACATCTTGCTATGATTTTCTCATCTTGTATGTGGGGAATTGATTTTTAACATATATGTAAGTCCTCAAATTTTTTCCTATAAAAATTAATCTTATTTTCTCAAGCTCAAGGTTCTAATATGTAATGATATTTTTGCATCATGATTCTGAAAAGAATTATGCTAGCTATCTATTAAACCTTGTGTCACCTGCATATTTGATAAGCATGCCACCTTCATCTTTATTCAAGTTATTGATTAAAAGCAAAGTAAATAGTGGGATCTGGAGTTTTGCAAGGAAGACAGAAAGGAGCTAAGGTCCACCAAATTGTACCATTAAATTCCTAAAAGTTCAAGAGAATGAAATACAATGAAAAAGGAACAAACAAACAAACAAAGAGAATCAGTTAAAAATTTCTCTATCCATTTGATAACTACATAAAATGCCTTTGATAACCTACAGAAACCCTGAATGGGGGAAATTAGCCAAGGCATGTGACAGTAAAGTATGAAAAATCCTGGTTGCACAGCTAGGACAGTCCTTAATATCTGATGGGGGGAAATGTCCTAAAGAGTAGCCAGCATGAAAAAGCTCTGAAGTCTCAATGGAGAAGGAGAAAGAACCCAAATAACACCTAGTCCAAAGACATGCCAATGTCCAACAGCAGCAAAAAAAAAATGTCTTAGAAGTTAGGTAACCCTTAAGCCTTGCATAGCAGATGAGAGGTCCAAAGGAGGATCCAGGAAATTCCAGCTCAATGTAGCATCCAGAAAGCATGGACTTAATGACAGAAGGAAAGAAGGTCAAACAATTCCTAAAGAAGCTAAGTCCTCCATTCAACCGCTACATTTAGAACTGGTTCATCTGGAAAAATGATAGGTCAAGAATCTCAAGTAAAGTAATGAAACAAAGTCAGAGGAAAGGGGACCTTGCAGTATTATTATATTAGAATTGAATGTCATCTCACACCACATATTTAGATAAAATTCAATGGAAACATGATCTCACACATGAAAGGGGGCAACATAAACAAATTAGATGAACAATGAAGAAAATATATTCCAAATCTATGGCCCCATTTGAGATTTTCTTAGCAAAGATACTGGAATGGTTTGTCATTTCCTCTTCCAAATAATTTAACAGATGAGTAAATGAGGCAGACAGGGTTAAATACTTGCCTAGGGTCACACAGCTAGTAAGTGTCTGAAGTCAGATTTGAAATTAGGTCCTCCTCACTTTAGGGCTGGTGCTCTATCCACTGTTTCACCTAGCTGCCCATGGATTTATGTATGGGGTGATATTTCATATAGTCCTTGAAGAAAAAGAAAGATGTCAACAGAAGCAGAATTCATTTTATGTATGACAAGGACAAGGATAATATAAGCAAGGAGAAAATAAGCATGAACAATGGAAAAACAGTCCCTTTTGTTGTAAAATAGAGAACATGAAGGGTAGAAGTATGAAAGAAAATTGTAACACTGAAAGGGAGATAAGAATCAGATTATGAAAACATAATTAGACTTAGAGAATGCTCTATATTGTTTTGTGTTTGAATCAGAGTTGCCTTAGATTCTTGCATTGCTATTGTTATTACACATTGTTATTACACATATAATCCAAAATTAACTCTATACTAACTCTTCCTATAATTGACGTAAAAAATACTGGTATATAATAAATAAATTTGCATGGTTACCTGGCATATGTACACTTTGGTTCTAAATTCATCAGCTTTTCTCAGAAGTTGAAATTCCTTCTTGTTGTCAAATATAGTAACTAGATAAATTAGATCATAGTTATGCCCCTTGATCTTGCCTGGTATTGTAATTTAACTTATCAACAATCCACAACAAAACACAATAATGTCAAAGAGAGAAAATAGATCAAGCTATGAATTTATTTTTGTTAAAAAACCACATCAGATCCTTTCTAGTACTGACATTATATTTTATTTTAGTGACAGATGAAATAAATTTAATTTCTAAAAAGTGAAAGTATGAAAATGCAAAGGTACAAATAAATCACTAATGCATTGCTTTTACTTTTATATCTCTCTTTTTAAAAAAAATATTTTTAGTTTTCAATGTTGGTTTCCATAAGATTTTGAGTTTTAAATTTTCTCCCCTTCCCTTTTCTCCTCCCCTCCCCAAGATGGCATGCAATGTGATATAGTCTCTACATATACATTCATGTTAAGCATATTTTCCCATTAGTCATGATACAAAGAATAATTAGAGGAACCACGAGAGAATGAAGCAATAAAAAAAAAACAACAAAGGAAAAGGAAAGCAAATAGTATTCTTCCATCTGCATTCAGACTCCATATTTCTTTCTCTGGGTGTGGAGAGCAATTTCCATTATGAATCTTTTGGAGTTGTCTTAGATTCCTGCACTGCTATGAAGAACCAAGTCCATCAAAGTCAGTCATCCCATTAAGTGTCTGTTACTGTGTACAATATTCTTCTGGTTCTGCTCATTTCACTGTGCATCAGTTCATGTGAGTCTTTCCAAGTTTTTTTTTTTAAGTCTGCCTACTCATAATTTCTTATAGCACAATGGTATTCCATTACATATATATACCACAACTTGTTCAGCCATTTCCCATAAATATTTTTGTACATGTGGGTCATTTCCCTATTTTTATGATCTCTTTGGGATACACACCAGCAAGTGGTATTGCTGAGTCAAATGGTATGCACAATTTTATAGCCTTTTGAACATAGTTCCAAATTGCTGTCAAAAATGACTGGATCATTTCGCAACTCCGCCAATAATGTATTAGTTTTCCAATTTTCCCAAATTTATCTAGCTCATATAGGAGGAGGTTCAGGTCCCCCAGTAGTATAGTTTTGCTGTCTATTTCTTCCTGTAACTCTCTGAACTTCTCTAAGAATTTGGATGCTATACCATTTGGTGTATGTATGTTTAGTAATGATATTACTTCATTGTCTATGGTGTCTTTTAGCAGGATGTAGTTTCCTTCCTTAGCTCTTTTGATAAGATCTGTTTTTGCTTTTGTTTTGTGTGAAATCAGGATTGCTACCCCTGCTTTTTATACTTCAACTGAAGCATAATATATTCTGCTCCAGTCTTTTACCATTAGCCTGTGCATGTCACTCTTTTTCAAATGTGTTTCCTGTAAACAACATATTGTAGGATTATAGTTTTTAATCCATTCTGCTTTCCACTTCCATTTTATGAAAGAGTTCATCCCATTCACATTCACAGTTATGATTACTATCTGTGTCTTTCTCTCCATCCTTTTCCCCACCTGTTTATGCTTTTCTTTCTCCTTTTCCCTTTTCCCTCCTCACTAGTGTTTTGTTTTTGACCACCACCTCCCTCAGTCCCTCCTCCTTTCTATTACCACTTTCCCTGTTCTCTTTTATGCTTACTGCTTCTTCCCTCCCTTCTATCTCCCCTCCCTTTTCTTTCCCCTTTTCCTTCCTACTGCCTATATGGCAAGTTAGGTTTC